GCATCAATGGACAGGGGGACTGGAGAGAGTGGTCTATAAACAAGCATCAACGGACAGGGGGACTGGAGAGAGTGGTCTATAAACAAGCATCAACGCAGAGGCAAAGGGAAGTCCCTGTGTCACCTCCCTTCAGAAGTTTTGCTTGAACCCTGCTCCTCATTCTTGGGGAGTTCCAGATTACTCTGACCAAGGCTGACCCTCTTCTCCCAGGAACCCAGTGCTGTACGTTGGCTTTGAAGAGTTCACAGATCTGACTCGCCGTTCATGGACCACACAGGAGCCAGAGACCCCAATAAGAACCCCCCTTTTTTTTTGCAGGGGGGTCTTCTTAGCCCAGTATTAATGTAATGAGCAACCTTTGTTGGCTGACCCAATGTTTAATTTTAATGCTTCGCCAGACGATATCTGGGTGTTCCTATTGCATATTCAAAAGAAGGAGAGGTGGTTTTGTTTAAGTTCCTCCCCATCATTGGCCAAGATTTGAATACTGTGCATGAGTCACAGTTCAATCACTAACTGCCGCTATGGGAAATGACTCAAGAAGCCAGGACAAGCTCCTGAACTATTAACCACGGGTTCTGTTAAAGGGCAGAAAGTGGCCCGCGTGTTCACTTCTGTGTAACTACTGACGCTTTGTCGTATGTGCTTAGGGTTCTGACTTTTCGGAGTGCTTTCGTCGCGTTATTTAACTTGGTTGCTGCTACACTAAGTGCAAGTGCTGTTGATGGCAGAGCCACAGCTCGAACCAAGTCTACTGAATTCCCGGACTTTCTCTGAAACCACAGCGCTTGCTCCAGTTTCAGAACTCTTCCTCCATTCAACCGAACCATACAAGGGAGACTTCAAAAGGTTCATGCAAAAATCCCGTGATCTTTTGTTTCCCACACACTTTTGAAAGCCCCCTTGTCTTTCTTCGGAGCATCCTGTCCTAGGGCACTGCCCTGCCCTTTCTCCACAGGTAATTTTGAATTCATGATAGGTCGTCCCAGTTCATGAGCCATGTTGAGAGAACCCTTATGGAAATTCATGAAATTCAGAATCTATATCGTTTACACTAATGAAACTGTATCTGTAGTAGCAGTGTAAGCAATCAGCCAGCTGGCCACAGACTGCTCTCTCCTTTGCTCGTCAGGTGTTAGTGTAACAGCCATAGGATAACAATCCGGGATCCAATCTATTACCCCTTTTTTAAATGCTTCTGCAGTTTTCTAACAAAAAGGCTGCTAAAATCCAGTGAACCTTTGTATTAAATAGATGTGGGGTTTTGTTGTTGTTGTTGTTGTTTCCCCGCTTCCTGCCAGGTTTGACTACTTGGCTCTGGGCTCGTGTTTTGTGGACAGTTTGGCGTCTCTGAGGATTAATGAATAAGGTTGTGTGACTGCGCATAGCCGAGCCCTGGTTGCAGAAGGTTTTAGTCCCTGGGCAAATGTATGCGGCCGTTGACCATGGAGACTTTTTAAAATGCTTCTTCTTTTCATTAATTTGTATTCCAAGTTTTTCTTATATCATGTGATTAGAATTAGAATCCCAGAGGTTTTCTCCTACCATGTGACTAATAAACTAAAGTTAAAACAAAAGAACCATCCTCAAGGAAGAGTCCGGCCCTTCGTGGAGTATGAATAAAGGCTTTGAAACGTGGGAAATCTCAGTGCAGTATTATATAATCATAAGACTTGTAAAAGTACTATCCTTACTAAATTTCATCTTAAGTATCTTTAGCTATTTCAGTATCTACTCACAGCGCCTTCACTAGGGTTTTGAGGTCAAAGTGATTATCCAACTCAAAGGAGAAGAGATGTTTCTCTGTCCTGCCTACTGGTGACCAGTGGGCTGCTAGCCACAAGGTCAGCAGTGCAAACCCACCTGCCGGTCCTTAGGAGGAAGCTAAAGCTGTCTGTCCCTATAAACTTTTACAGCCTCAGAGACCCCAGTGGGGTGACTTTCTGTCCTGTTGCGTTTCCATGAGACAGAATCAACTCGGTGGCAGTGAGTTTGTCATACCACAAACCAAGCCCACTGCCACTGAGTCAATTCCAACTCAGCGATTCTGTAGGGTTTCCAAGACTGTAAGTCTTTATGGGAGCAGACAGCCTCATCTTTCTCCAAAGGAGCAGCTGGTGGATTTGAACCACCATCCTTAAGGTTAGCAGCCCAGCGCCTAACCTGCAGTGCCACAAGAATACCTTTCCCCTGTCATGCTTACTGCTTAGTACTGTTATATGCAAGTGCAATATGAGTTTCAAAGATGCATTAATTGGCATTAGCGCTGAAGGATTGAATCTTAAAAAACATTCAGCCTGATCTTTACTTACTGACCCTTGAAGCAACTTTTGTGTGCCTCATGATCCTGGGTGGATCACTATAGCACTAAAGAGCGCCTAGCTTTTTATTTCATACTTTATATTTTTTACTTTTGTGCATGAATCCTCAAAAAATACCTTCCCTGTTTTTTACCACATCAATTTTTTTCTTGGCTCGATTGTAAAATAAATGCCATTCTTTTACACTTGCTCTCTCTCGCTCTTCTTTCGCAATGCATGTACGGCAACTCCTGTCCTCTCGGAGGAACGGAGCTCAGACTCCTCCTGCTGCTATTCCTACCCAACTGAGAACGCAGGGACCCAGGTAAGCCCGGGAACTCTGAGGCGAAGAGCCAGGCGAGACGCGTGTGAGGCGTTGCCCCCCTGGCAGGTCTGTGCCCTGGGGTGCAAGGCCAACCCGAGCACAGAAGAAATGACCGCTTGAGCCTAAAGCTCCTGAGGCCAGGGGCTAGCCTCTGGGACAGAGCAGGGCCTGCCACTGGGCCGCCCCAGGGGCTGCAGTCCTGCAGCTGGGATTGATTTTCCCTCCCTGTGTAGCACTCCTGGTCGCCGTTTTAGTATTTAGAGGTAAGTTCGGCTGATGGACACTCTGTGTAATAAAAGGCTCTTGCGAGGGACGTGCGCCCCAGCTAGAAAGTGGCGCAGCTTTCAGGGGAGTGCATTTGCGGCCCAGGCTTAGGCCTGGCTATGTTTATAGCACTTTAGCTCCCTTTGTGAGTTTGGACCCCTTCCAGATAAAGAAGAGAAAGTCATATATTATTGTTTATAATCTGCTTTATTCCTCCCAACCTTGACTGAACAGACTTGTGGATTGCTGTTTAAATCCCTCAGTGCCCTTAACTACCGATACAGAAAGTGGTTAATGCGCATTCTAAACGAGGCTTGGCTTCCACTCTGGGAAATCACTTTAATTGAGAAGCATTTGATGTTCAAATGATTTTTTTTTTAATGATAAGTAAAGCCTGCACACACGCTCTATCACATTGCTCCAGCCAGGCTGTGTTCAGCCCTGCAGGTGACAGGTGTCAGGAAAGTGCCTCCCTGCTCCCGAGGTCACTGTCTGCGGACAGCCAGCTCTCCCTCCTTCCCCCCCTCCCTCCATGCCTCGGCTGACCACGGAGCGCGGGAGCCGTCAAGTTCATAGGTGACTATACTCATAAACTAGTCCCAGGTGACTGCGATATGCGGCTTAACCCCAAAGCCCTTGCCTGGGCTGCCCATTGCTGTGCCAAAGCCATCTGTTGAAACCTATTTACAATCTTAATGGCTCTTTTCTAAACTGCCTGTTTCCAACTCCAAATGTGTGCCAAGACCACTCTCTCTGCCTGCAGTTTATCTTTCAGGAAGCAGTCTCCAATCTCCTCCCAACCTGGCCCAGGGTTGGCAAGCAGGAGAGACAATGATAAATCTTTTTTTTTTTTGCGGGGCGGGGGGAGACAAAACTACCCTCTCCCCAAGTTCTAGAAACAGTCCAGTCTCACCCGCCTTTGACAGTTCTGACATTCTGGCCAGTTTAGGGGACTACTGAGCAGTCTCGTATGAACAGGTCACCTGGACACCTCCTCTAGACAGTGATTCCCAACCTTCCTAATACGGTGACTCTTTAATACAGTTCCTCATGTGGTGGTGACTCCCCCAACCGTAAAATTATTTTCTATTCTACTTCATAACTCTAATTTTGCTTGTTACGAATTGGGCGACCCCTGTGAAAGGGTCGTTTGACACACATACACACACCCCGCCAAAAACGTCACCACCCACAGGTTGAGAACCGCAGCTCTAGAAGGTATCCACGCACGCACACCTTAGGGCTAATGTGAGAAACGTGAATCCTGACGGACAGCCTGCAGCTTGTCCTTTTAATTACCAAAACCATCCCCAATTGTGTTCAGGTTTTTGTGTTTAATAACAAGGGATAAGGCCAAAGGAAAGGATTCTACAGGGAAATCTGGACCAAGGAGGGGAGAATGGGTGAGCAAGTGTGACGTGCAGGCGTGCAGGCCTGCTTTCTCAGGCTGTCACACCCGCTCCTTCCAGCAGGGGCCTGGGATGGCCCCTTTTGGGTCACTGGACAGCCTGGCCCAGGACTGAGGCGCCCTCCAGTCTGAGTACTCTCTGGAAAGCGAGTTCTTCTCAGGAAGTGGCAGTGTTCTACTCAGACCCAACAAGACCTGGTTCAGAGTGTGCCTCAAATCTAAGGAAATCCCTGCTGGCGGTCACCATCTGAGGATGGCCTCTCGAGATTCTAGGTTCTAATCCAGTGGTGGGTCAAAACGTACCACACCCTGACCCCTGTGCTCCCTTTATTCCTTCCTGATCTGAGCCGAGTGGTCTCCCAGGACCAAGCAGACAGGGGGAGGGGGTGGGGGGGCGCGGTGGCAGGCCAGCTACCCAGCACCCAGCTGGTTCCGAGCTGAGATGGTCCTTCATTCTCTCTGGCTGGCAGTTTCTTCATTGTTTTGTAAGTGGGTGATCCCTGTGGAAAGTCATCCGACAGAAAACCAGGGGCTTGCTCTTGCTCTCTTGCTATGGAGTGGAGGGGAAGAGCCAGATCCTCTCCTCTCTCTAAGCAGAGAGCACATTTTGTAACTCCTAGGAGTGGAAGCTGGGCACATTTAAAGCGTCAAGTGGAAGTGAACCAAGGAATTGTCAGCCTGACACACTCAAAACAACTCACAGTGTATTGAAAGCCTAGACGCAAGCTAGGCAGGCTGCGGATGAGAGGATAAGAATGGAAGACAAATGTGGCTACCTAAGGACCCAGCCCAGAGGAGCCCCGGTGGCATCATAGGCTGCACCTTGGGCTGCAACCCGCATGGTAGGTAGTTCAAAACCACCAGCAGCTGCACAGGAGAAAGGTTGCTTTCCACTCCTGTGAACAGTTCCAGCATTGCCTTGGTGGCAGAGAGCTTGTTACTTTTTTTTTTTTTTATGGTTTGGAAGGACACAGCCTATTTTCAGTAGCTCAAGAATAGTTGGAGCAGTAACCAACTGAGGTGCCCCTCAAGGGATTGGGCAGGCAAAGGGGAGAGAAAGTCCCCCTGTGAGCCCCTCCTATTTCCTCGAGCAACACTCCATTCACCTGCTGCTGTCCCCTTCTCAACCCTCCCTGCACATACACAGCCTAGTGATATCTTGGTCCTTCTCAGCCTTCCACAGTACTTACCGTGCGAGGGAATTGGGCCAAGGCCCATCAGTTCCTCCTCAGTGGCAGAGCTTTGAGTCTGCCCCTGAAGGCTGGAAAGCCCTCTGAGCATCTCACCACTGGGCCTCCTGCCTGGAGCTGAAGCCTTCTTCCAGTGAATGGTGGGTTGTGGGCACAAAGTAGGTCTGGGACTTAGACCGCTAACAACTCAGAGCCCAGCCTCTAGCATAAGACCTAAGCAAATCGTGTGCGGTGCATGGTTGGTGGGTTATTTCTGCCCAGGAAAAAGGCAGATGGCAGAGACGTGGACTCTGCCTCCGTCTTAAGACTCAGATATGTCCCGTCAGCAAGTGAGATGGAGGCATGCCCCTTAGCCAGACTCTTTCTGCCCTGCTCAAGAGAATGTTCTGAAGCCACGGAAATGCTACCTGCTGCACACACACACTCGCCACGCACCACAGTGAGCTCAGAATGTAGTTAGTGTAGGTGAGGAGCTTTATTTTAATTCATTTACATTTAAATAGTCTGGAGGGGCCCTCAGTGCCCTATAAATTCTGAGTGTTGCTTTGGGGGCAGGGGGCATTACGGGTTTGTTGACGGCTCCGGTCTAGCTCCAGCTCCAGGGCTCTACCTAACAGCCTGCTGCAGACGGAGGTGCCCGGTGGGCCTCTGCCTGGGAAAGCTTGTCCAGGGAAAGCCACCCGGTGGCTCAGACAAGACCGTTCTACCCGGCTGCCCGTCTCCCCATCAAATAAAGACCACCTTCTCCAGGAGGAGGAGTCCTGGGGGTGTCGTGGCTGCTCGTTGGGCTGCTACCCTCGAGTTCAGCAGTTTGAAACCACTAGCCGCTCGTTGGGAGAAAGATGAAGCCCCACTGTTGTGAAAAGTTAGTCTTGGAAACCCACGGAGCGGTTCCACCCCGCCCTACAGGGTCTCCATGAATCGTAATCGACTCATTGGCTGTGAGTTTGGTTTGTTTTCTTGTTTTGTTTGTTTGTTTTCCCTGTCTAGGAAGAGGACATGTAGGCGTGAAGCGTGCTAGCTAACACTGAGGTGCTCCCAGGAAAAGCCAGAACTTTCTCTGCCGGGCCTGCAGCCTGCTGTTCTGAGCGTCCTGGCTGGCAGGGCTGTGGCGTTGGCGCCCTTCTGGTGATGAAAGGGTCCAGCGTCAGCTCAGCTGTTTATTCTCTTGGTGTCGAGAGAGAAGCCTTCGGCAGGACCAAATGAAAAACAAGACACATGGGCTTCCAAAGAACTCCGTATTTATTGTACATAGTTTGGCCATACACAGCTCATGCCAACACACAGAAGGCATAGACAGACAAACTCACCAGCTCCTCTGGTCCAGTCTCATGGCAATCAATAAGGATGAGGGGGTCTTTTTTTTTTTTGCCCCTGGAAGTGAGACCTCTTTTCTTTTTAACTGTACAAAATTTACACTGCAAAGGGTGAGGGCAACAATTCAGGGCTGTGAGGTCTAAATGCAAGCTCAGCAACTTCCCATCGGGGCGCCCGCCAGACCCTGCTCCCTGCTCCTGGGGCTGGGTGCAGCCATCCCGTGGGAAAGGACAGCGGGCAGATGAGCGCAGGGCCACCTTCCTCGGTCCACCTGTGTGCTCTGCCCCCCTCAGCAAAGGAATGCTTGGCGTGCCCCCACCCCCACCCCCTAGCTGCCCCCTGGCCAGAGCTAGCAGCATGAATCTGTGTGCTTTCACTGTGGTCCTGCCAAGCCGGTGTGGGCGGGCCGACTTTGCTGAGCTCTCCCTTTGGCTCCAGTCACAGGCAGGGTTGGAGCAGTTGGAGGACGCTTACAAAGAGGGCCGATCGACCAATCCAAGGAGAGAGCCAGTGATGTGCTTTTATTTAGGCTTCAGCATGCCCAGGCCCTTCAGCAGCAGGCAATAAAACAAAACTCATTTCCGCTTAATTGAATTGTTCTTCATCTCACGGTTTCCAATTTTTAAAGTGCAATGTTTAAAAATGAGCCTCCTCAGGCCAGCCAGACCCCGCTGGCTGAGGAGGTGTGGTCACACTCTCCCTGGTCAGCACGAGGTGCTCCCAGGGGCGTGTGGGAAGGGGCTGCGGAGGGGAGATGCCAGAGAATAGCAGTCTGCAACACCTGCCTGTTGTGCATTCGGAGCCTCCCACTGCCTCCAGCAAGAAAGCACATGTTCCCAGGCTGGAGCTTCAGAGGTGGAGTGGCCGTGCCTTTTGTTTTACAGTCCTTAGACCTCCCTAAAGAGTCAACTTCATTCAAACGCCCTAAGGACCCCGATTATCTGATGAGACCGCGTGCTTTACGGACAAAACTGCCAAGTGCCCTCCTTGGCTCTGTTAACTTGCAGGGACGTTGCTTTCCGTCTTACACCTACTCATAACTCTGCCCGGAAGCAGGTCCTCATGAGGCCAGGAATTAGCTTCCCCAACAAGCCCGTTCATCCGCTGGGCCACCTGCACCCTCGGATCCAGTAGTTCCTCTCTGGTGTCATTCATTTTCAGCAAACAGATTCCTCCACAGCCCTCGTCTCCATCTTTGCTCCTGTCAACCACCACTAGACTCTTGGGGCGTTGGATTCATTGGTCCCCGGATTCAGAAGCTTCCTACTCCAGCGTCTACAAGCAGGCACTGCTGAGAACGGCTGCTAGCCACTTGCTTTCTTGGACACAAACACCAGCCCAGATATCGCAAGTGCTTCCAGATGATCTCATTTTATTTTTACAGTCCATCCGTGTCCTTTTAGCAAGAGGGGACACCACTACCCTGTCGCACCTTATGCCTCAGGAAGGTTGTCATCAAGGCACGTGGGGAGGGGCGCGTGAGAGAGTGGGCAGGTACCATTCTTTCCTCTATCCCCAAACTCTGGAGATCCCGGGGGGCACCAGCCCCTCGGTGCTACATTGTGGCTGTGCTTCCACCGCAGGCGCCAGGGTGTGCTGCCTTCTGGGGGGTGGCTCCAGGGATCCTACAGAAAGTTCTCTTGACTCGCTGACCAGGGCTCTCTCCAGAGCTCGTCCAGCTAGCCAATCCGCCTTCGGAAACAGGAGTTAGGCCCATGGTACATGTCCTGCCCTCAGAGAGGGAGGCCGCCCGCCCACCCCTGCTCTCACCCCCCTGAGCTGGGAGGAAGCCCCAATGAGCTCTCCTAGCAAAGGCAAGCCAGTCACTGGCCACCGTCACACGCTGTGTCCCTGGAGCTTAAAAAGCACCGCTCCACAGAGGAGCTGCACCTCCTTAAAGAACCTGCTCTCCCCATACAACACTCCACCACGGTGCCCTCACTCCGGGATCCCAGGAGACGGAGAGTAAGCCAAGTCCGAGGCCCAGCCGGGAGGGCGTTGTCACTAGCCACTGGCCTCTCTGCACACGTTGGGAGCAGCCTGCTAAGCCGTGTAAGAACATCGTTGCCTTGTTCCTTTCCTCAGTGTGGCTGGTTCACCTGCATTTGTGTCACCGTCACACATACACACGCACCCCTCACGTGTTCACATTGTTGGGGATTCCTCAAACTCCAAACTCACTGTCCTTGAGTCAATTCCAACGCCCCTGTGGGTTTCCAAGACTGGAACTCTGCACAGGACGGAAAGCCTCCTCTTTCTCCTTCAGAGTGGCATACTGCCCTGCTCTGCCAGGGCTCCTGGGCAGTGCCAGGTCTCAGAATGAGGTAGGCGGAACCCGCCAGCACGAGTTCACATGGAACTTCGGGGAAAGGGTCTACATTTGCAGACTCTTCCAGCAATCAGTGAGCATTGCAGCACTCCAGAAAATCAGCGGGCACGATAAAGATGATCAGATGATGTGAAGGGCAATGCCAAGGATGTGGTGGCTTTTTCTCAGGGTAACTGTAGCTGAGTTTAGTCCTGGAAGGGGGCTTACAAAGGGTGCAGCCACCCAGGGGAGGCCTATTTCTTTAGTCTGCCTACCACCTGCCGAGGTCTTTGGGGTCCCCAAAAGGTGATGGACCCTTCACAGAAGGGTGGGTCCTTGGGGTCTCTCTTGGGGGAGACCTTGCCAGTAGGCATATGGGGCATCAGCGCAGATTGTAGTGCTTCCCAGAAAGGTGCAATCCGTCCCTGGCAGCAGCTGGGAAAGCTGGGCTTGCCCTTGCCCTCACCCTCGCCTCAGGCTTCATAACATTAAGGACGTGTTGCTATTGCGCATGCTCATTGAGAGTGTCTACACTGCCTACGGTTGGCGAGCCCTGGCTCTCAGAGCCCAGGGCGGGGCCCCAGGGCCTGGCATGAGTCCAGCCAGCATCCCAGAGAGATGCAGCCCGAAGACCACTGGGAACCCTTTGGACAAACTTAGGGCTGCTTCCCGGGTTCATCTTCACAACCAAGGTGAGCCCCAAGCACCTTCCTTACCCTTCTGCTGAGCCAGCCGGCCAGCACAGCGCAGGAAGCTTTGGGTGGAGAGGAAGGGAGGAGGGAGGCCGCCCAAGCTCATCCAAATCAGCTCTCTCCTAGCACAGACAGCACCCCACCCTAAGAGGATGGGGAACTCTGGGAGACTGGCACCTGCGGCTACACAGATGCCCAACATGTCTGCACACGTCCTCACTGATTGTCGCTCTCGTCTCTGTCAGCTTTGATCGTCTTGTCCCCCATGGCCTGTCTGGTGGCTTAACCGACAGGAGCAAACTAAAAAGGCACATTGTGCACAGAGGGGCCCCACTGGACAGTGGCTGTCCTGGCGTCCCGGACCACGCAGCCCCAGCTCGGAGTCACCTGTGGTGACAAAGCCGCTTTGTAACCTCAGGGATTCTGTGACGTGTGTGAAATGCCCAAACTGATGAAACACTCTGGTTCGTACTCCAGCCGAGAGATGAAGTCACATTTTCACAGCAAAAAAAAAAAAGGGGGGGGGGCATGTTTTTAATATCAAATTGTGGCCATCGGCATTTGCACTGACTGAATAACTGTTTGTCTTTTTATTTTGTAAAGTAGCGTTCAACAGGGTGGTCTAGAAAACTCGGGAATCTCGGTCTGGTGACAGCTGTGGATTGGAACTCATGGCATGAAACGCACCTGGCAGAGCAGTGTTCCCGGGGCCAGGGAGGCCCAGCCCAGTCAGCTGGCACCACCAGCGAGCTGAGCAGCCAGAGCCTGGAAGCGGGGGCTGGAGGGGAGAGTGGGCCCAGCCAGCATTCCCTCAGACTCTAGGCCCCGGCGCCCTGTGCTGTGTTCTGAGAGGAGGCTTGCTCTCCCGCCACTGCCCCAGGGAAATGGCACCCAAGATCTGTCTCAGAACCTTCTAGGAACCCGCAGAGGGGCTTCCATTGAAAATGGTGGAAATTCACATTGGCGTACTTTTCCTCCTTAAAAGTCAAGTCCCTCTTGATCCTTGCAGACAGCCTCTCAAGCCCGCAGGCGGGGTGGGGTGAGGAGGAGAGGTGTTTAAAAAGGATGATCCATTTCATCGAGCCAGGAGGCTGGGCTGGTTGGAAAGTCGGGATAGCCTACACTGCTTCCGGTGGAGATGTCGGAGGTGGGTCCCCCAGCCATGGCTCTCAGCGTCTGGCTCACTCCCTGCCCCGCGTGCGCAATGATGCCCAAGTTACTGTCCACCGTGTAATCCAGCCCATTGAGCAAAGGAGCGTGAGATGGCAGGGACGATATGGAGGATGGAGACTGGGGGATTCCATAGGGGCTCCCATCCCTCAAGTCCTGATAGGATTGTCCTGTCCCATCCATGGAGAAGCTCCCATTCATTAACTGTCCGCCTGTAACGTCCCCCACGTTGCCATAAATCCTATTGGTGTGGCCAAGCTCTGAGAGAATCTGATCCTCTGTGGACAAAAGAAATGGAGATTTATTGTCAGCCGCCAGCACCTGGCAGATCCCTGATTCTCACCACTGAGGAACACGTATCAGGAGGAGAAAAACCCAAGGGTGTCAACTGCCTTACCACCAAGCATGAGGTCAACCACCAAAGCCGGACTGACCCATGTCAAGGGGGATCACCTGCTCAGAGTCCAAAATCCCAGGTCCCCAACGGCTGGATGCATGTGTGGTGAGTTGGGTGGCCCAGTGTGGTGCAAGTCCCTGAGATCACAATGTGGATTATGGCTGACTGAGGTCTTGTGAGTCACATGTTATTCACATCACAATTGCAAACTATGTGCTGAAAACATTCCTTCTGGAAGCTGTAAAGCATAGCACAGTGCTTGGTTTCACTGGCTGGGAAGGGCCACCCATAAAGCTGTGTACAGCTTCCTGCTAGCTGACCTGGAAACAAGGTGCAATGCCAAAGGACTCAGTTTCTTTGCTGTTTGAAATAATCCATTTATCCCACAGCGTTGAGCCATTTTGTTGTAGTGTGCCATTAGTCAAGTTCAACTCCCAGCAGCCCCCTGTGACAGGGTAGAACTGCTCCATAGAGGCCTTTCTTTCCCAGGCTGTACTCCATTTTTTCCCCTCCAAGTGAAAGCAGAAGTTAATAGAAATTAGAACAAATTAAAAATGGGTCAAAGGGGAAAACAAACGATAATGTTAAATTTTAACCTAACTGTATCTGCAGTAATACACTTCCTAATGCAGTCTGTTGGAGGGCAAGACTGTTCCATCCCTAGTTAATGGTCCATAGGAATTCAATGGAGGCTTAATCTGCGTGGGGACCCTTGCAAATGGGTTTTAGGCTTTCACTGTCACCCATAACTTTTTGCAAACCAGGTGTTCAAAATTAAAGCACCAATACAATTTCCCTCCTCTGATCTTAGATTTTATTATTAACCATCCTTGGATCACACCGGCTGGTGTGTAGACTTCTGTGTAGACTTAACTGACACCTCACTTAGATGACTGCTTGTTTTAAGGCAGCCTTTAAGACTCCCAGATGCTGTTCTTTCTGATATGAGCTATAACCTTTCTCCCTGTTAGCAGCCAAGTGCTTGACCATTGTGCCACCAGGGCCATTTTACTCCACCAAAGTAAGGGATTCTCATATTCCCCAGGGAAGTCAGACAACCAGGCGACCCAGCTGCACCCAACAGAAATGAGCTATAAAATAAGATCCAACAGTGTGACAAGGGGGAAAAAAAACAATAAATTATCAAGGATTCGTGAGGAAGGGGGTTGGGGAGGGAGGGGAAAAATGAGGAGCTGATACCAAGGGCTCAAGTAGAAAGAAAATGTTTTGAGGATGATGATGGCAATATATGTACCAATGTGTTGACACAACGGATGGATGGATGGATTGTGGTAAGAGCTGTATGAGCCCCCAATAACATGATTTTTAAAAAATAATAATAATAAGACCTGACAATCCTGTATGTCTCGGACATGGGTTTTAGCAGCTCAGACGAGACTGTTAAGTGGCTTACCCCACCCCTGCCAGAGACCCTAGCAGATGAGCATGAGGCCACAGAGCTCTCTCCAGATCCAGCAGAGCAGACCGCCAAGCTGAGCTACAGGCTTTCCACAGTCCCGCACTCCCAGCAGACCCGGTGTCCCACCACAGTACCTCTACTGCACGACCTATTCCTCTACCCCCGCCTGCGCTGGGCCTCCATTCCCACAGCCCGGCACTCCATTCCTCCTGACCCCCTATTCCTGAGGGGTGCCCCATCCACCAGGGAAAATGAAAACAAGGAAAAGGAGGCGCTCGTGCTTTTAAAAGAGCAGAAGATAGAGGCCCAGCTCCACGGTCCATTGGCCAGTACATGGCTTTTAACCCTCTGACCGGGGCCCACTTTGCAGAAGCACATCCATAGCCAGCGGTTTTCATCGGGTCTCACGGTAACCCTGCAAGGAGTGGCAGGTCGCTATCCCCCGTGTACAGATGAGGAAATGGATGCTCAAAGGAGATACATTGATTCGACAAGAGTCACAGCCGGAATCTGCTTTCGGAATGCCCAGCCCAACCACTCTTTCCTCCCACACAGACCTGCCCATCTGAGGACTCAGGCTCCTCCCTTCTGGCTCCTGGCTAACCTCTGCAGGGCCCACCCAGGCCAGCATTTGCAATTTTGCTGGTGCACAAAGGTGAAGATAACTGGCACATGCTGCATAGCGTGTGTGAGGGGGGAGGACGGAAGATGGAGTGAGGGGGGGGGGTCAGAAACGAGGCCAGCCCCCCACAGCAGCACGTTCACTCGCTGGACTGATTACCCAAGAAAAGGGACCATTGAGATTGTCCTCCCCACAATCAGGGCCTGGAAGGAGCGACTAAGCACTGCCAGTGGTTGGCCGGTGACTGCACAGGGGGCCAGGGCAAAAGGCTGGGGTGGGGGTGGGAGCAGGGCAGGGGGCTGGTGAGAGAGCACCCAGTCAGCAGGAAGGGAGGGGAGGCCGTGGGGCCCATAGGACAGGGCCTGGCCAGGTCCCAAGGAACCCACCTTCCAAGTCTCAGCCGCAGGGCTTTCTCTTCTCCGAAACCCCTCCCATCTTACAGGGCCACTAACCCACGGATCACTGTCTGCCGGTGCTGGCCTCAGGCCTGCGCCTCGCCCCTCCAGCCCTGCTCACCTCGGAAGCTCAGCTCACTGTCACTAACCCCACAGTCCTCCGCAGAGCTCTCCTTCTCCTGCTTGCTGCCGCCACGGCTCCTCTTGACGCTCTTGTAGAACTGGCCCCAGCGGTGCCGGCCCGCGTCCTTCTTCAGCCGTTTCTCCTTGGCCCTTCGGTTCTGAAACCACACCTGCCACGCAAACATGGGACATACTCAGTCCACCGAGGACCCCGAGCCGCCCCCACCACCCCGCCCCCACCACTCCGGGGGCACCCTGGCCAGGGGTCTGGATGGAAGCGTGTGAAAACCTCTGTGGAGAGCTGGACCAGGATGCCCTGAGCCTGCTACTCCCTCTGCCCGCCCCAGGGAGCAGGACGGCCACGAGTGCTCCCAATAATCCCTCGGGCAGTGGACGCAGGACCTGCGCTGCCCGCCCCAGTGGGGGCGGTGACTCACCTGCACCACCCTCATGTCCAGGCCCGTCTCGGAGGACAGCTGCTCCCGCACATGGCGCGCCGGCTTGGGCGAGTTCTTGTATGCGTTCTTCAGCGTCTCCAGCTGCTTCGCCGTGATGGTGGTCCGAGGCCGCTTCGCCCCGGCCTCGGAGTCATCTGCAAAGGGACACCATTTCTTACTCCCGCCAACCCTTCCGGCTCTCCCTTCCTCCTTCCCTCCCTTCCCTCCAGTATCCTGCCAACCCAGCAGGGCAGTACCCACCCCCCAACCCAACCCAGCCCTCCCCCGCCCAGCCTCAGCCAGGGGTATCCCCTCCCCTCCCTCCAGATAGCAGCCCTGGGTGGGGCTCCTTTGGAGAACTTGGCCAGCCAGCCCTCTCCCCTCTCCACCAGGAGCCTCCGTTTCCCAGGTCCTAAGTCCTGGCCCCCTTATCCCCCAGCCAGGGATGGGCCAGACCTGAGCAGGCTTCCAGTCGGCCCAGAGGTTTAAAACTAAGGACTGATGGCATGAAGGAGGAATAAAGCAAGCACGGCTTCTCGAAGCTTGTTTTCTTGTATGAGGCCAGAATGTGCACTGACCATACTGTAGGTCAGACTTTTTAAACAAAACACGGGTCTAGAGTGTTGGGAGCCCTGGTGGAGCATTGATTACACTCTGGGTTGCAAGCTGCAAGGTCAGCAGTTGGAAACCACCAGCCGCTTTGAGGGAGAACAGGAGGCTTTCTAGCCCCCTAAAGAGTCACAGTCTGGGAAGTGCACAGGAGCAGTTATAGCCCGTCCTACAGGCTGGCATCGATTCCGTGCCAGTGAGTTGTTTAGAGAGGATGCTGGGGCAATCTGCCTTCGATCCAACGCCCATCTCCACAGGCTCCCCCCAGTCAGGAACTGGCCACACTTGGTCCCAGCTCCCTCCTGGGACGGCTGCAGAGAGCAAGGCGGACCACAGAGCCAGGGTCCCCCAAGTGCGAGACTTTTTCCAGTTCTCTGCACTCCTTTCCAAGAGCCCTGGTGGCAAAGCGGGTTAGGCATTGGTTTGCTCACCGCCTGGTGGCGATTCAGACCCACCAGCTGCTCAGTGGGGGCGGCTGTCTGCTCTGGTACACAGTCCTGCAGAGCTTAGGGGGAGGGCGCTGACAGTGGGCATCCACTCAGCGAATGTGGGCTTTGTTTTGCATGGTTCCTCCCTACACTCCCACTTTCTCTCTTTTTCAGTTTCCAATTATTTTTATTTTTTTATTAATCATTTTATTGGGGGGGCTCTTACAAACCTTAGGACAGCCATCATTCAATTGTATTAAGCACCACTTGTACATATGTTGCCATCAACATTTCCAAAACATTTTCTTTCTACTTGAGCCCTTGGTATCAGCAACTCTTTTATCCCCTCCCTCCCCTATCCTCCCACCCTCGTGAACCCTTGATCAAATTATACATTATTGTTGTTATTTCATGTCTTACACTTTCCGTTGTCTCCCTTCACCTACATTTCTTTTATTTGTCCCCTTGGGGGAGGGCTATATAGCCAACCTTGTGATGGGTTCCCCCTTCCCCCACACCAGCCCCCTACCCTCATATCACTACTCCACTATTGTTCCTGAGAGTTTTATCTATCCTGAATTCCATGTGTTGAGAGCTCTTGTCTGTACCAATGTGTGTACTCCAGTCTACCCGGATTCATAAGGTAGAACTGGGTGATGGTGGGGTGATGTTGGGGTGGGGTGGGGGGGTGTTGGCATACAAGACATAGAGGAATGATGTGTGTTTTATGAGTGCTACACAGCACCTTAGTTGAATTGTCCCTTCCTTGTAATCCTTCTGTGGGGGGATATCCAATTGTCTACAGATGGGGTTTGGATCTCCACTTCAATCCCTCTCGTTCACATCAATATAATTATTTGTTTTGGATCTTTTGATATCTGATACCTGATCCCATCGACACCTTGTGATCACACAGGCTGGTGTGCTTCTTCCATGTGGGCTTATTTGCTTCCCCACTAGATGGCTGCTTGTTTAACTTCAAGCCTTTAAGACCCCTGATGATACATCTTTTGATAGCCAGGCACCATCCGGCTATCACATTTGCTTATGCACCCGCTTTGTCTACAGCAATCATATCGGGAAGGTGAGCATCACGGAATGCCAGGTTATTAGAACAAAGTGTTCTTGCATTAAGGGAGGCCTTGAGTAGAGGCCGAAAGTCTGTCTGCTATCTTAATACTTTAACATCTAAATATATGTACATTGGCCTCTATCCCTCTTATTATAAATTAATATATTTACATATATTTATTTTCTCCTCTCCTTCAGGTCAAGAAAACCCTCTCTCGGGCACAGCAGGAACAACCACTAACTATCTAAATGCCTCTGGGTGCCCAGTGCTAGTCTAAGAGCTTTACACGCAGTCTGACCTCCTGACCATTCAGCAAGGGTTCACTCGGCATCGGAAGACCTAAGTTCAAGACCGGCATTGCCAGTCTCCTGGTGAGCAGAGTGACTTGGGCAAGTGGCTTCACTCTCTGAAAGCTGGATGTGATACCAGCTGCCCTGCGTGTGGCAGCGTGTTGAAACCCATACCACATCCATGCCCACACTCCAGTGTTCCTGAGGGAGCACCCTCCCCCTGCCAGCCCTCTTCTCCTCGGTCAATGACTTCTCCTGAAGAGCCTGTATCACCTCTGCATCCAGCCCCAACCTTGAACCAGCTCCCTGAGGCCCACCAAGGGCATCAGCAGAGAAGATACTTATGAGATTCTAATTTAAAGGACAAAAATGTCTACATGAATCCTGTGATAAGGAACTCATCCCTGCGGAGCCTTGGTGGTGCAGATGTCAGAGGGTGGGCTGCTCACTGCAAGGTCAGCAGCTGGAAACCACCACCCCTCAGCAAGAGAAAAGAGGGGCTCCTCTGAAACCGACCCACCGGGGTGGTTCTACCCCGTCCTGTCGGGTCGCCGTGAGTCAGCATCAACTCCCATGGCAGTGAGCGTGTGTGTTTGTTTTCCCCATATTTACCAGGAGCCTGGTGGCGTTATGGGGTATGTGTTGGGCTGCTACCTGCACGGCCAGCTGTCATCCTACAGGAGCACGAGGAGGCTGCTGCCCCCAGAGCACCTCACAGCCTCAGAAACACCATGTAACTCCGAAGCACTACCGTGAGTCGGAGTCCACCCTCTGGCAGAGGTTTGGCTTGGGTTTGGGCTCCTATGTTTATAGAGATGATGGCATGATTGTGTTTGGTGCAAGTTTGAATTGTAGAAACATGAAATACATAATCCAAAAACTTGTTTTTTCATTAAATTTCATTAAATGAGACCACCAACAAATGTTAATTCATCAAGAATCACTTAATTTCAAGGTCAGTTGGCCTCGTGAGTGGGAAGCCATGCTCCTGGGGCCACCTCATCTCCGGTTGGTGTATCGTTGGCTCCCGCACTGCTGTTTACAAGCGCAGGGCTTTCTACTTGGCACTTACAGGGACTGTAATGCTGTTATTTTAACATTCGCTGTTATTGTAATTTAAAATCTTTTTTATATCCTATAACAATGTCATCCAAGTATTCATTAAGTACGGTGGCAGTGCGCGTGCTGAAAAATGTAGCCCAAAATCAATAACTTTGGTACGGAAGTTAAATGTGATAAAACGCCCTGAAGAAGGCAAAGCAAGCCCATGAAACCCGGGGCTGTTAATTTAGGAGAGAGCATTCCATGAAGTATTAGAGATAATGCTGAGAAAATAAAAAGTAGCATTAAGGCAAAGATACACTTCACTGGTTATGGATTTATGTGCTTCCAGATTACATCCTCCCCCGCCCCACACACGCACACATAGTTTTTGCTTTAATTCCTGTGGGGAAATTAGTCTTCAGCTGTGTATTTTGAATTATGCAGGGTCTCCTAAAACTTGTCCCTGGCATGAAATGCAACCTCATTATATTGAAAATGCAAATACCCAAGGAGCTGTAACAAATTAACAAAAATCTTCACACTAGGGTGCAAACTGCTGCTCCTGGTCCCTTTGCTGGCAGCTCAAGGGAGGGTAGTGAGCTGGTTCTGCCTCAGGGCCAGCCCGCGTGGGTCAGAGTCAAACTGGGCTCTGCTGGGTTTTCGGGCAATGACCTTGCAGAAGGACATCACCGGGCCTTTCTTCCCAAGGGCCTCCAAGTGACTTCTCAACCTTTCGGTCAAGTGCACTAGCCGTTAGCTCCACCCAGGGCCTCCCAGGAAAGAGGAAAGCCACTTTCAGAGAGAAAGTCAAGTGCCCCACCACCACCACCACCCGCTGCCACCACTGTCCTCAGGTGGTCCCCACCCCCGGGAAGGAGCAGCCCCTCCCTCGCTGGCTGCAAGAGGAAGGGGAAACTCAGCTGCTTGAAAATACAAAGCGGTCCCCTGTTGGTTTGCACAGCTCCCCCACCCCACCGACATGCTATTTGAGTTTCAAGTAACCAGAGCAGAAGAGCCGGCTAAGCCGGCAAAGATCCCTGCCAGGTGCACGGGCAGACCTGGGTCCTGGAGAAGGCAGACCAGAAGCCTCTGTTCCTTCCAGAGGCAGAGCTGTGGGTGAGGTGAGGAACGGTGCTCAGAGAGGTGGGGAAGCCCCTGGAGGGCCCCCCTCCTGCAAAAACCCACCTTGGCACCACTGCAAACCTCAATTTCACACCGCATTTATTAAGCGGAAAAACGGATTCGTATTAATTGGCTTTCTTTAACATATAGGGGCTCTGGTGGCACAGTGGTCGGCAGACCGGGCTCCCTCAGGCCGTGGAGCCTCAGCCCAGGTGGGCGGCCACGGCCACGCAGGGCGCTGCTCACCGTTCTGCTTGGCAGTCTCGTAGTCGTCCTTGCACACCAGCCGCCCGTCCTCCATGAGGTAGAACTCGTCTCCCGTGGCCAGCTGCCGGTTACAGATGATGCAGGCGAAGCAGTGCAGGTGGTAGACGAAGTCCTGGGCTTTGCGGACCACCTGGGTGGGGGGGATGCCCTGCTGGCAGGCTGTGCATTTTGTGCCGAAGCGCCTGTTGGGACAGCAGAGACGGATTAGGGCACAGGGGGGGCCAGGGGAGCCGGCCACCCCCAGGCTTCACCAGCCCCCTTCCCACACCCTTCCCTCAGTCCCCCAAGCTCCCCAAGCCCTCCAGACTCCTCCCACTCTGTGAATCCCTGCCGCCAACCCCCATCCCCCCACCCCCTCCCTCCCAGAGCCTCCACCGGTCCAGGTCCACCTGGACCTCCCACTGGCTTCACTGCATTGTCTTCCCCACTCTTCAACCACAGAAGGAGGGCCTGGATCAGAACTGAGTCTCCAAGGCTCCTATGCTGGGCTCCAGGATGCCCCCATCATTTAGCCCAGGCAGCAAGAGTGGCTGAGTCCCTGCTGCCACCCTCGGCCTCTGGGCCTGCAGGTTTCCTTGCCGTCATGGGGAAGCCAAGAGGACTGCAGCGTGCTCCCATAGGCTGGGGGTGTGGCATGTCCAGCAAACCCCGCTGGCCGCTGCTTACTGAGTCCACAGGGGAGCCCCCTGAGAAAACGCAGGCCAGGCCCCCCCTGTCCCAGGCCTCCCTTTCTCCTGGCACCCACCCCCTTCCTGTGCACAGCCTCTCTGATGTGCAAAGGGGACCCTGGAATCTGCACTTCCAAGCCCCCACGACAGACAAACGAGCAGAACGGCTGCCGGCCACTGCACAAAATACCACTGCAGGCCTCGCCCTGCAAGGCTTCACCTCAGGCCAGCCTGCGCTGAAGGTGGAGTTGGGAAGGGCAGTGAACTGGGCACAGCTAACATGCAGCCCAGTGGGGTTTGTGGGGCCCTCTTCCCCCCATTCTAGTCCAGAGACCAGCAAAGCCACACTAGTGGTCATCAAAGGAGACAAGGACATCCAGGGGCCAGTGTGGACCAGGGCGGGGCGGGGGTGCCTCCTGGCTGCAGGTGAGCCTTCCCTGCCTCAGGAAGGAGGGAGTGGAAGAGGCTGGGGAAGTGTGTGTGGGGTGGGGGCGCCCGAAGAGTTTAAAACCGCAATCAACCTAATTATTCATGACATTTCACACAGCAGAACTTTATCTTCTTCAGGATGAAAGACTTCGCCTAATGGATCTGGGGAAGGTTTGATTTTAATGGTCCTTTTAACTAATGCTTATAGGCAGCCTGATTTCCCCTGAAAGGACAGTACATATTTCATCCACATTAATACCAAATAAATTAATTATGGTCATGGCTATCATGATGAATCCCAGATTAATGCAGAATGATGGGTCTCTTATACCGTAATGATACCTGCTGAGGGGGCTGCGGGGGCCGGGACAGGAGTGGCCAGCGTGGCTTCCCAAGCACCCCTCTTCACAAGTCAGAAAGAAGCAGGGGGTGGGTCTCTAAGTCTAGGGGGGTGACCCCATCTTCTGAAATGGAATACAAGAGAGGGTTTGGGATAGGAAAGACTGAAACACTCAGTTTGGGGGGTGGGGGTGGGCTGGGGGGGCTCTTCCTTCTGGATCCTGGGAATGCCTTTCAGTTTTTGTGGGGCGGGTTTTGTAGAACAGGAGTTCTCAACTGAGTCCAGGATGGGCTGGGCCAGGCTGGGGGGTGGGGGGGCGGGGGTTTGAAGACCACCCCATCCCCAGAATGGCTCAAAATTGTGCCTGAGCAAGGGGTCTGGGCTTACAGCAAATTTTCAGAGGGGTCCAGGACCCAGAAAAGTGAGTTCCAAATACTGGTTGACTAATTAAATCAGTGACTGAAGCCTGTGCCCAGGGGAGGCCCCCCTGAGGCTGAAGGACACAGAGTAGTGTCCTGTCCACGCTGTAAGGTTCTGTGCAGCAGAGAACCTGCTGCTTCACACACAATCGCTGGCCAAACCCATTGCTGACAGCACAGAAGACAGGCAGGCTGACGACTCTGTGTGTGTGTGTGTGTTGTAGAACAAAGAGAAAAGAAAGCTATATGTTTGTTACTAGAGTATGTTTTCAGAACACCTGTACCTTTTAGAGTGAATCTGGGCCACTTCATAAAGCAAGTGTTAAAAAAACGAAACCATGCTTTCTTTGGGCATTGCAAACCTTCCCCAAAAAGCCACCAACTATCAAGAGACTCCGGCCACCCCCTCCACTGCAGATGCTGGCGGGAACTGCCCCATTCTCTAAGCGCACACCTGTCCTTGGTGGCCAACACAGGAGGGCTGAGCAGGGAGCTGGTGGGGCTGGGGCACGGGGCTCCAGAACAGAGCGAGGCCCCTTCCTCAGCCCCACCCACAGAGAGGTCACCTCTCTCTCCCACTGCAGCGCAGAAGCCCAGTTGACACCAGGGCACGGGGCGACAAGGAAGATCCCGGGGGGCATAAATTTCATCTGTATCCGACAGCGCTTCACGCAGGAGGGTGGCAGGAGCGCGAGAAAAATGAAAAATAAATGGACCTTCCCACCGGCATTCTCAGCAATTAAAGCCATTTTCCTGATTGTGGGGTTTAGACCGACGATGGCAAGTGGAAGTTGCTCTTAGTACCTTCCTCCCCTGGGGCAGGGCCAGCAGAGACCCTCACCAGGGGACTCCTGCGGCCCAGGAGGCTCCCTCAGCTCAGCAAGGCAGGACCCCACCCCACCCCCGGCAGGGCCAGCGGACACCTGACAACAGGCATCCCTGGGGGGCGGGGGCGGGGGATGGGATGAAGACAGCCTTGAGTGGGTGGTCTTGGACATCCTGTCGGAAAAGCCCCTGGCCCCAACAAGGTGGCGCTGTGGGTCGAGCTGCTACACAGAGAAGCCAGAGCCCAGATGATCTGATCACAGGTCCACCGGTGCAAGAGCCAGTGTGGGGAGGACAGCACCAGCAAAGGAAAGCTGAGGCAGTATCCCCTCCCCACCCCACTCCAAACACACACACGAAGGACCTATTGCTGAGCACCTACTGTGTGCGGGGTCCTGCCCACGCAGGGACAGCCCACCGGTGTCATTCATCATCCGCCCAGGGGCTCCCTGGGACCAGCCTCTCCCCTCTCTTGTCCGGCACATTGCAGGCAAGCCACAGAGATGCCCTGAATGCCCGACTGACGGATGTACGGACTGACTGAATGAATGAATGAAGTGCTCCCTGCCTTAAGCAGCAGGAGACGGTTGGTACTAACTGGACCCTGCGACTCCTGAGAAGGGAAGAAGCCATGCTCACTCTGCAGAGCAAGCAGCTTCCCATCGCCGGAGCTGACCACCACGCTCCCCACCCAGCCGGCCTCTGAGTGCATCACCTGAGTGGGGTGTGATCCCCTGAGACTCCAGGGGAGGCAGGGAGGGCCAGCCTCAGCTCTCACAGACTGGGGGTGGGGGCCAGGGTTTGCGCGCAGGACTTCTGACGGCACAGCCAGCCCCCAGGAACACCCAAGTTAGCCAACACCCCCTGAGCAGGCAGCCTCCGTAGAAGGTCCCCAAACCCTCCGCCTCCCCACCTGTGTAGACTGGGGGACCCTGACTGAGCCCAAGGGGTCCAGGCTTCCCTGAGAGTCCACACCCCCAGAGTCACCTCCCTGACGGATCCTGTGACCACCTTCCCCCCACCCACACCACCACTACCACCGCAGCAGGGGCAGAGAGGAGGCCAACTTATGACCTTGGTCTCAACCTCTGCTCCAGTGGTCATCCCGAGCAGCCGTCTATCTGTCCATCCCTGCTGCTTGTTCCTAACTGGCCTGGCTACACCCTTCGCACAGGGACCAACCTGAGGATGCCTGGTCCCTGCCGACATGACCTTCTGGACCCAGCAGAGCCAGGCACACAGAAGCTGGCCCACCCTGATGTTCCCGTCTGTCCTGAGAGGGGCCCCACATTTTGGTCACAGAAACATTAACAAGAAAGCAGCTTCCATCTGCCAAGCACCCACTGTGTGCCCAGCTCTGCCTGGCACCATGCACATGTCTCATGTGCTCACCACCAAGCCTTCGGGGCACAGCCCCATGGCCCTCCCCCCTCCATCCCCCAGGTCCCTCACACCTCAGGGAACATCACCATCGCTCACTGCCCCTCCGTGGCTGTAGCATCCACACAGACATCCCTCCTGTCCCTGCCCACTCACGTCTGGGCCTCGTCCCTGCTTGCATCCTTCCAAGAGTCACTTTCTATGCTCATACCCACCGGCCACCTCCTCCATCTCCTCCAGCTCGCTCCTTCCAGCACCCTGATGCTGACAATCCTGAGACCCTTCTAGAACCCCTGACTGCCCTTCCCACCATGCCATCTTCCCCTCGTGGCCTCATCTCCCTCCTCACCCAGCAACAACTCCACAGGGCATCTTACTTGCCACCCCCTGCAGACACCCTCTGCCCTCCACCCTCTCTGCCCCCACTCTGAGTCCCAGAAGGAACAGCCACCTTGTGACGGAGCTCACTTTAAGTCTGTGATCTGCACCCCAAGAGGCCTCAGGAAATCATACCTACCCTCTCCATTCACTCTCCTACCCTCCAACACCCCCCCCAGTCTCAGCTGGTGGTCTTCCTTCTCCCTGGTCTCAGCAGAGACAATCTCAGGAGAGACCTTCCCACTCATGCCCCCACCCCTGCCCCAGTCCCTGTGCCCACACTCCTGCTCAAGGCCAGCCCTCCCCCGGGCAGAGCGGCCGGCCCCTCTCCCTAATCAAGAGCAGTCCTCCAGCAACGGCCACCTTGTCTCCTGGATCATTAATTTTCCCTCCCTACTAGATCATTCCTGTCAGCCGACCAGCCTGCTAGTATTTCTCTCCTGTAAAAAATAAAAATAAAAAGCATAGCTCCTCTCTGGACCACGCGTCTCCCTCCCCAACTCCTCAGCTCCGGAACAAACGCCCCCACCACCAGGAGGGTCTTCTGTTCAGGGTCTCTGATGGCTCTGCTCTAGAATGCACTCCAGCCAGGCCACTGCCCACCCAACAAGGAAACTGCATGGTACAAGGTCAGCCATGGCCCCCGTGGCTCGATCCAGGGGTCAGTGCTCACCTTCCTCACCCTCTTCTTCCTCAGGACACTTGCTCACTGGCCTCGGGACTGGACCCCGGTTCATGCCTCC